AAGAAATCCTGGTGTTTGAAAATCTACGACCGCTTGGATACGAATTGCATAACAAAAAGATATGCTTAAATCTGGACCACACCAGGATCGTTTTGCAGGAATACGCCAAGCTGCACGCTTTATCGTTCGCCTTGAAGGACCAAAACAAAAAGAAGTTTGACGACTTAGTAACGTCGTCGAAAGACTTGTTTGTAGATTTTTTGAGTAAAACCTCTACTCTAAGTAACATCGAAAAATCTGTTCAACCTACTTTAAGGCTAGTCAAAGATCGTGAAGATCCACAGGTATATGGAAAATTCGCAGAGATATTAGAAGGAGGAACGGATAAACTAGTGAAAATATTTGCAACTGTAGATGAACAATCTGTGTTGCTTCATGGAGATTGCTGGAATAATAACTTCATGTTCCAGTATAAGGTATGATTGATAAACATAGGCTTACATTACCATATATATATATATATATATATATAGGTGGAAAATTAAAGCTTCCGCCTTTTGTTGGGTACTTCGACAAAATTTAAGCAAAGAGGACTCTTTATACTTTTTTTAATTCTCTCTAGCTTTCAATGGACTTTGCCATCATCATCAGGGGCTGCAATTACATTGATAACAGTAGCAACAATAGTGTAAAATGAATTTAAATTGACTTAACTTACAGTAGTATGTGAGGATGTTGCTAATTGTTGTTTACGTTCAGGATGAGGGAAACACCCAGTAACATGATGAAAGCTGGATAGATGGTACAATGGTCAAAATTATATAAAATACACACAAATGTGTGACAAGAACAAGTCAAAAACAGATTAAAAATTTTTTAGAACATGAAAGCATTAGATCGTGAAGCCACTTGATGATTGCACAAAATGGTGGTCATGGAATAGTGAGTGAGATGAACCCTTTGACAGAAGGCCGAAGGTTGTCAATGTCTGTGTAGAAAGATGGAACGAATTGTGGGCGTGTGCCACGTTGCCAAATCACTTCAGATGATGTGATTTTCATAATGTTATCTAAGAAATTGTTAAACCGACCAGAGGAAGTTGAATTAAATATATTTTAATTAATTGGAAATTAAATTAACAATTATTATTAAATCGTGAGGAGAAAATTATTAGAATTTGAGTGGAATGAAGTTTATTGGTGGAATCGACCAAGAAACAGATTCCATTTATGGTTGTGAAAAGTAAAAATTTGGGGAGATATAAATGGAATCTGTTTCTTGGTCGATTTCACCAATAAACTTCATTCCACTCAAATTCTAATAATTTTTTCCTGACGATTTAATAATAATTGTTAATTTAATTTCCAATTGATTAAAATATAGTTAATTCAATTGCCTCTAATCGGTTTAACAATTTCTTACATAACATTCTGAAAATCACATCATCTGAAGTGATTTGGCAACGTGGCACACGCCCACAATTCGTTCCATCTTTCTACTCAGACATTGACAACCTTCGGCCTTCTGTCAAAGGGTTCATCTCACTCACTATTCCATGACCACCATTTTGTGCAATCATCAAGTGGCTTCACGATGTAATGCTTTCATGTTCTAAAAAAATTTTAATCTGCTTTTAACTTGTTCTTGTCACACATTTGTGTGTATTTTATATAATTTTGACCATTGTACCATCTATCCAGCTTTCGTCATGTTACTGGGTGTTTCCCTCATCCTGAACGTAAACAACAATTAGCAACATTCTCACATACTACTGTAAGTTAAGTCAATTTAAATTCATTTTACACTATTGTTGCTACTGTTATCAATGTAATTGCAGCTCCTGATGATGATGGCAAAGTCCATTGAAAGCTAGAGAGAATTAAAAAAAGTATAAAGGGTCCTCTTTGCTTAAATTTTGTCGAAGTACCCAACAAAAGGCGGAAGCTTTAATTCTTCACCTAACTGGTCTAGACGACAATGACCACGTCTCAAGTTATATATATATATATATAGGATGGCCCATTCATGTGTAGACGGAATATTACTAATAAGCAAATACATTTTGAGAAAATCTATTCATGGGATATTATACATCACATCTTAAAGTATGTATTACTTATTAGTTTATTTGTCTATTAGTATGTATTTGTAAAATAAACACATGTACGTCGCATACATGAGTATAATTTCATTTAAGTTGGCTCACATTGCTCACGACTAGGTAGCTCATTGTTTATTCCAAAACTATCAAAGTAGCTCAACACACTGAAAAGGTTTGCGACCACTGTCCTAGGGGAACAAGCATAACCCCAAAAATTATTTTATTAAGAGCATTCGTCTCATACAAATGTTCCTATTTCTTTTGTTCTAGAATAACAACAAAACCACTCCAACGGCAGTCAAGATCTTAGACTGGCAAGCATCTGTGCTGAAGACTCCAGCATGTGACCTGTGTATGTTTCTAACTTTGACCAGCTCGCAGTCAGCACACATGTTTGACCAACTCTTGAGGGAATATCATGACCAGCTTTCAAACTTCTTGAAGCAACTGGGCAGCAGTCCTGATCTGTTCACGTTCGAAGACCTCCAGAGACATTGGAAGAACTTTTTACCTGGTGCTTTGATGTTCGCCCCGTTAGCGTTTGCGTTCATCCTGGCTCAGAAGGAAGAATTGCCAGAGTTTGGAGAGATGAAGGAAGGTTCAGATGCGGGAGATTTTATGGATATGCCTATTCCAGAAACCGATGAATTTTATGCAAAACTGAAGCCTCTAATAGAATACGCTAACAACTTGTAATATTACATTATTGAGATTAAACAAAGGATTTTTTAAATGTTTTAAATTATTTTTTATGCGCAGGTAGAAGCCTAAATGCCTCGGCTACTATGGTTAGCTTAAAAAACTTTGTTAATCCGATTTTTTAACTGGTTAAAGTTAGTACAACTGAGGAAAGCATCCTCGTGTAGATTGTGACAAAGGAGCGATCGTATCAGCCGGTTCTGGTTGCAAGAAGTCCGACACGGTTTGGCTGGGAGTCCAAAGTCCGATTTGGTTCATTGCCGTTCTTCTCAGTCTGCCAAACCGTTACTGTGTATTTATTTTGATGTCTGGTCTGGCATATGAAACAAATGACGTATAATTCCAAGGTACCTACCTAGGAAATTATGTTGTTGTGAAAAAACTAAGGTTTGTCAATGTCTATGTATGACACATTATATATTTTTTGGATCAAAATTATAAACTATATTTACCTGTGTAAAAATCCAATATGGCGTCTATAAGAAAAAATTAAGTTGTGGCTGGAGGACAAGAGACGAAACGTCATATTGAAATTCTGATTATGCCATCTTGTAGAGAAGATGAAGGTGCAATGTTAGTGTGCAATTTTCTTAAAAATCCCAGTACAAATAATGTCAAGAAAAAATTTTAATGGTTTTGGGGAATTCCGTTTTCCATCTACCTCCGGAAGTACTTTTCCTCCATTAAAAGGTCGAATTTGGAACACCCGGTATGTAGAACAAATCTTGGAACCGAATTTTGAACCAATTCTCTTAACCAAGCGAGATGAACCTTTGTAGTTACGTGTGACTTCTCGTGATAATACAAAATGAATTGACTGCTGTCATTTTGAATCCGATAAGGCGGATACTACAAAATGTCGATTCATCGTTTCCATAGAAACCCTTATTATATGGCTAGGAAATGAAAGGGTTTGATGAGAGAAACAAAATAAACATTCTGAATACAATTATTGGTCCATGTACAGGCGATGCCTTCTATTGGGCCTGTTTTGATTTTAGATTTATTTACTCATGTTTGTTATCTTTGTACATTGAGTAAATAAATATTATTATTATTATTATTACAATATGGCGGCTGCAAAAAAATGGCGATTTACATTTTCAGTCTTCCCTATGACATGGGTATTGACGAGAGGAACACAATAAGCAAGGTGACGTCATTATAAATCCGATATGGCGGCCGCTGCAAAATGCCGATTTGCAGTTACGCCTATGGGCATGGGTATCAAATGAAAGTGCCTGATAAGAGAAATACAACAGTCGAAGCAACGTCATGCTTAATCCAATATGGCGATTGCCGCAAAATGGCGACTTTCACTTGTCACAAAAATATATGGGGGTTAGATGAAATAGGTTGGTGAGAGAAACGCACTGAACTAAGTGACGTCATTCCAAATCCGATATGGTGACCGAAAACAGTCAGTAACTCTTCTTGTTGCGATAATTGTCTCTGAAAGTTGTAATAAATTATGCCGCGAAAATGTTCTCGGTTGAATTCCATTTTTCTAATGACTTAGTGACACTTAAAAATTCACTGTAGTGAGAACACTGCACGTATCGTTGTGAAATTTAAGTGAATTTAAGTATACTCAAGAGTGAGGTTAAGATTCAGTACTGACGTTCTATCCGCGCGACCTACTAACTTTTTATATGCAAAACTTAGAAGACATCCCTCGTACGCGCCAGTCATCCTGCTGTTCTACGTACCTCATTGGCACTCATCAGTGATGGCTGATGTTCTGGCCTTTTGGCCTCCAGTTGCTGCCCATTTTTATCTGTTTTTTATTCATAATTGACTTGTGTAAATCTAAGAATTGTAGATGCGCTTAGGTTTAGTCTTACTAAATCTGTAACGGCTGTCCCGATTTTGATGCAATTTGACCAGCGACTTGCTATGAGTTCATATTAAGTGATCCTCGTTTAGCTCCACTTGACGAAATCAGTGCATTAACAACAGAAAAATTATTATCAGATTATCAAACATAATCGAACTTGCTTCATTCTTAAATGCAACTTTGTCTCCAACTGATTTTGCTCTAAAAAAATACCGTTTCCACAGTTTTTTTTCCCTTATCACGATAGCTGTAATAAGCAATTAAGCCGCTGTTTGAAGGTAGAGTTTTCCGACTTGTGTATTTACAACACACTACATTGCGTAATTAAATAAAACATTGCATCCAAGCACTCAAGGAGATATTTTTATATATATATATATATATATATATATAAAACAAAATAACATGTATGTCGAATCATTATATTAGAATCAACTGTGCGTACTTATCCTAGCTTACAGACTACGCAAAGTAAAGTCACGCACCCATTCATGTTCGAATTTCACGTACAGTGCCGGTCATCGTTCCAGAAATAAGATGTTCCTTTAGCGATGGACAGTTTCGGCAAGGCGAATGCTCGAGTCTGAGCTACCACAAAAAAGCATGTGCATATCTCCACAAGCATATCACCTCGTTTCGAAGAACCATTCTATGCATTATAGCCGCTGAAGGTGTGCTTAGACAACAATAGTTTTACGCCGCTAGCATCTGGAACAAATTATAAAAGTAAAGTTCATTTACCAAAGATAACGGTAATATTGTAGAGTGAATTGAAAGCGTACACAGCTTATAACGATAAACAAGCACTAAACCCACAGAAGCAAGCTTGTGTACATCAAATGACTGCGGCAAGGAACATGTGCCGCAGCATGTGTTGCAAAGTGTAGCAGACCGTTGCCATTCTTGACACATGTGCACTTTTGTGCAGACAAACTGTTGCAGTGATTGTAGTAAGTGTGCCGGTCTGCAATTTATCTGTATTGGAGATATTCCTTAGCAGGAACAATAGATTCACTATATAGCTTATTTGAGGAAGAATTTGCCATAGAATATTGGCCTACAGGTAGGTTTATTATACATAAGCAAAATATACTAATATAATTACGTCTTTTCTAGTCTGATTGTCGCGCTGTGTTCAACAGACTCAGCAATAGCTGTCCCGATTTTGATGGAATTTGACCATCGAACTGCTATGGGCTCACACTAAATGATGTTTGTTTAGCCGGTTTAGCCCTACTTAACGAAATTAGTGCAATAACAGCAGAAGTTATTAAAAAAATATCGAACACACTTATGTGTTGGATGCGACTTTGTCTTCAACTTATTCTGCTCTAATAGTAAGCCGTTTTTCCAGTTTTTTCTCCTTTTCACGATTGTGTTCATTGATTTTTCCTTTCGGCTAGTTTTTGCAATTTTAGTCTAATATAACCGCACTAAATTATATAATAAAATAAAACCTTGCATCCAAATATCCAATGAGATATGTAGTGACGAATCATTATTTAATTAGTACCAACAGTCGGTACTTACACAGTAAGCATGGTTTACAGACTACGGAAAGTAAAGCCACTCACGGAAGCCCCAGTCATATTCGAATTTCTCAACACTGCCAGTAACCAGATGTCCTTTTCAGCGATGGACAGTCGCGGCAAAGCGGGTATTCGAGCTAAAAAATTTTATCCAAAATGGCAATATCTTTCTTCACTTCTAGGACAATCAATTACCGTTGTTGTTGGAAGATGTGACCAGCACATTTTGCTATTATTGTGCTAGAACATATTAATGCAATATTTGAACAGCGGTGGATTATAAGAGGAAGTCTATTTCCATGGCTTTCGCGATCACCAGGCTTAACTTGTCTTGATTTGTATATATGGGGACAGTTAAAGGACACCGTGTTTCAACCTACAACCAGAGAAGGTATGAAAAAACGGATTCGTAATGCAATACGTAACATACCGAGAGCCGAAATTGAAGAAGCCGCAGTTTCCAGAAAAATAGTTAACAAAAATACAAATTTAAGGGGTTTCCGTAAAAAAATTTCTTTGACCTATATTTTAGGTTAGGAACAACATATCGAGATGCGGTTTTCGTTAGCTTGTTTGGACATCATTTAGCTACTTTTTCATAAAACAAAAAATTATACCAATTCAGTTAATTTGTTTGACAAAATTAACCATTTCTGTCGAAATGTCGAAAAAAGCCCTCTAGCGGCGACATGTGAAATAACAAAACTCCAAATATTATAGCATTTGTAGCCCAAGAATAGTTCTTTTCAACTAGCATAAGTTTGTTAAAATCGGCTAAGCTGTTTCGAAGATACAGAGTGTTTTTACGCCTCCACTTAATTTCTATGAATACACCAAAAATTGTCAAACAAAAAAGGTTCAGATTATCCTCGAATTAAAAGATCAGGTATTTTTTGTCATGTAAATATAGCTGAATTCACATCACTTTTTTAGATTCAAGATAGCAGCTACGCCTTCTGGCGGCCATTTTAGGAAGCTTAATTTATTTTCCAGGTTTTTCTCTTGGTCATTTTAGTCAGAACTTTTGGATAGCTTCCCAGATACAGTATCTCTCATTGTTAGTTGGTCATCCTGTACGTTCTGAGAGTCTGTGGGATACGTGCTACATCTTGTTTGGATTAGAAAGGTACCGTCAGTGAAACTACAGATGTTTCTTTGACTGGGAATTAAATAAAATAATCTACTCACAAATCGAACCCTGGCATGCAAACCGTGTGAAGAAACACGTTTAACCGCTGAGCGACACTACAAACAAATTCTTTATACTTTGCTAATATCTATGTGCATAATACAAGTTTATATATTGCGCTTGAACTTGAGTAACTACAATTTTTCCGTGTATACTGCGCCTATGACATGATGGAGGCAGAAATCAAATCGTGGTTAAACGATGCCTTGGCCGATGAACATTTTGTGCACTTCGAAGTGAAATTGGGGGTCGGAACCGAAAAAGGCGACGGGTTTGTAGGACAAATGATCTTTGTGACAGTTGAAGGGGTAAGCAAGAATGACAAACCCAAGAAACTGGAGTTGGTTCTGAAGACATCCAAAGATAATCAAGCCTTTCGTGAAGATATAGGTGCATTAGCTTTTGAAAAAGAGATGCATGTATATGAGAAGGTATTTCCAACGTTTGAAGGATTTCAAAATCAACATCACGTAAGTGGATAGGATATCGAAATAGTGATAGTCACAAGAAAATCTAACTAACTAGTATATAAGACTGGCTCTGGAGCTTCTAAATTGGAAACGTCGACAATACGAACATTAAGGGAATCGTAGTTCATTAATTTTGATGTAGTTTAAAGAGCAATATACATATACATAAAAAATTAATGTTAGATTGCTTCATAAGCTATGGTCCAAAAATGTCTCCTTACAAAAACTCGGGGTGTTGAAGTTTTAGGAAAAAAAATGGAAATTAATTGATATTTTTAGAACCGCTTCAGATATTTCATTGATATTTGGTACTCCAATGGTTTTTTACCAAATACAAAATTATTTTTGAGTTCCCCGTTCAATTTAAAACAAATGATCTCTCTTGAATTGTTTCTCTTCGATGCGCCATTTTTGAGTAAAAAAATAAAAACCGTTCTATTGTCTAACTTGCAAAATTATTATTAATTTAATTGCAAAATTAAGCACATTAGGGGTGATGAACAACAACAACTGACAACATAAACATAACATCAAAACCAACGAAATCATTACAAAAATTGCTGAAAATGTTCGACTATCTGGCAAAGCACGATCGGGATATCTCTGGTGATAAATCCGTCTGGCTTGCTCACCATTACCGTCGGCAAGGCCATATACGTAATGTATTTCCGCCATTTCTGCACTTGAATAATTCACCATTATTAACAAGATTGTGAAATCTAAATAATGAAAAAGATGTCACGGCGAACAGGTTTGAATAACAGAGACTTGTCAGATGTCAAAAGCCAGTGACATATTCTAGAGCAACTAGATAATTATTGCTAAATTGCATTCTTCAATTATTACATTAACTGTCTCGGACAATAGAACGGTTTTTATTATTTTACTCAAAAATGGCGCATCGACAGAGAACAATTCAAGAGAGACCATTTGTTTTAAATTAAACGGGGAATTTTTATTTGGCAAAACACTATTGACGTACCATTTTTTTCTTAAAAAATGTCGAAGTCTATACAAGTAAGCACGCCACTGTTAAAGCTAAGCATAAGCATAATTGGTGCAAAAACTGAAAGACGTTATTCTATTAAGACTGATTTCATTTCTGTTATTTTCGGCAGGTGCGGACACCGTTTACAGCGTATCCAAAGTGCTATAAGTGTCTTAAGCTGCACAAGAAGGAAATTCTGGTGTTTGAAAATCTACGACCGCTTGGATACGAATTGCATAACAAAAAGATATGCTTAAATCTGGACCACACCAGGATCGTTTTGCAGGAATACGCCAAGCTGCACGCTTTATCGTTCGCCTTGAAGGACCAAAACAAAAAGAAGTTTGACGACTTAGCAACGGCGTCGAAAGACTTGTGGGTAGATTTTTTGAGTAAACCCTCTACTCTAAGTAACATCGACAAATCTATTCAATCTACGTTAAGGCTACTCAAAGATCGTGAAGATCCACAGGTATATGGAAAATTCGCAGAGATATTAAAAGGAGGAACGGATAAACTAGTGAAATTATTTGGAACTGTAGATGAACAATCTGTGTGGCTTCATGGAGATTGTTGGAATAATAACTTCATGTTCCAGTATAAGGTATGATTGATAAACATAGGCTTACATTACCCTATATGTATACAAGGTGACTTCGAAGTTGAGTCATTTATTTTAACAGTGAGTAGATCTGATCAAAAGAAATGTTTTTCCCCTTTACCATTTTTCTGGTAAAATTAAAGTAACAAAGTTATAGCCCTTTGGAAGTTTGAGTACCGCCCTGTCTCGATAATAATATTATGTGCTCGTGTTTGGCGACAACGGATATAATTCGCCTTATCGGTTCATCGCATCGGAAACAAAAAAGCGAAAGAATTTGGAACGATGTTTTTACAATTATTTCATTCAGTTGTATACAGTCAGTGTCAGTCGGTAGTGGATAGTGGTGTCTGTTGCGTGGCTCAAACGAAATAAAAAATGGCACATGTCTATGCGGATCGGTTTCCCAATCGAGTGCAACCAACCCCTCGTGCCTTTGTTAATGTAGTACAACGGGTTCGTGAATCATTTGACTTAAGACTTCACATATGGACGGGATGCCGGTGCTCCAAGACCTCACGATCAAATACAGGTCCGCACTGACATACTTGTCGGGAGGATACTTTATAAAACAAGGTAAAATTTCTTTTTAATTTTATTTTTTATTTTTACACACATATTTTGGTTTATCTTCCTTCTACAATCATTATCTGAAAATTAATGACTCAACTTCAAAGTCATCCTGTATATATATATATATATATATTTTTCACCTATATATATAGGTGAAAAATTAAAGCTTCCGCCTTTTGTTGGGTACTTCGACAAAATTTAAGCAAAGAGGACTCTTTATACTTTTTTTAATTCTCTCTAGCTTTCAATGGACTTTGCCATCATCATCAGGAGCTGCAATTACATTGATAACAGTAGCAACAATAGTGTAAAATGAATTTAAATTGACTTAACTTACAGTAGTATGTGAGGATGTTGCTAATTGTTGTTTACGTTCAGGATGAGGGAAACACCCAGTAACATGATGAAAGCTGTGTAGATGGTACAATGATCAAAATTATATAAAATACACACAAATGTGTGACAAGAACAAGTTAAAAACAGACTAAAAATTTTTTAGAACATGAAAGCATTACATCGTGAAGCCACTTGATGATTGCACAAAATGGTGGTCATGGAATAGTGAGTGAGATGAACCCTTTGACAGAAGGCCGAATGTTGTCAATGTCTGTGTAGAAAGATGGAACGAATTGTGGGCGTGTGCCACGTTGCCAAATCACTTCAGATGATGTGATTTTCAGAATGTTATGTAAGAAATTGTTAAACCGACCAGAGGCAGTTGAATTAACTATATTTTGATTAATGGGAAATTAAATTAACAATTATTATTGAATCGTGAGGGGAAAATTATTAGAATTTGAGTGGAATGAAGTTTATTGGTGGAATCAACCAAGAAACAGATTTCATTTTTGGTTGTGAAGAGTCAAAATTTGGGGAGATATAAATGGAATCTGTTTCATGGTCGATTCCACCAATAAACTTCATTCCACTCAAATTCTAATAATTTTCTCCTCACGAAAATCACATCATCTGAAGTGATTTGGCAACGTGGCACACGCCCACAATTCGTTCCATCTTTCTACACAGACATTGACAACCTTCGGCCTTCTGTCAAAGGGTTCATCTCACTCACTATTCCATGACCACCATTTTGTGCAATCATCAAGTGGCTTCACGATGTAATGCTTTCATGTTCTAAAAAATTTTTAATCTGTTTTTAACTTGTTCTTGTCACACATTTGTGTGTATTTTATATAATTTTGACCATTGTACCATCTATCCAGCTTTCGCCATGTTACTGGGTGTTTCCCTCATCCTGAACGTAAACAACAATTAGCAACATCCTCACATACTATTGTAAGTTAAGTCAATTTACACTATTGTTGCTACTGTTATCAATGTAATTGCAGCTCCTGATGATGATGGCAAAGTCCATTGAAAGCTAGAGAGAATTAAAAAAAGTATAAAGAGTCCTCTTTGCTTAAATTTTGTCGAAGTACCCAACAAGAGGCGGAAGCTTTAATTCTTCACCTAACTGGTCTAGACGACAATGACCACGTCTCAATATATATATATATATATAGGGTGGCCCATTCATGTGTGGACGGAATATTACTAATAAGCAAATACATTTTGAGAAAATCTATTCATGGGATATTATACATGACATCTTAAAGTATGTATTACTTATTAGTTTATTTGTCTATTAGTATGTATTTGTAAAATAAACACATGTACGTCGCATACATGATTACAATTTCATTTAAGTTGGCTCACATTGCTCACGACTAGGTACTGTTTATTTCATAACTATCAAAGCAGCTCAACGCACTGAAAAGGTTTTCGACCACTGCCCTAGGGGAACAAGCATAACCCCAAAAATTATTTTATTAAGAGCATTTAACTTACACAAATGTTCCTATTTCTTTTGTTCTAGAACAACAACAAAACCACTCCAACGGCAGTCAAAATCTTAGACTGGCAAACATCTGTGATGAAGACTCCGGCATGTGACCTGTGCATGTTTCTAACTCTGACCAGCTCGCAGTCAGCATACATGTTTGACCAACTCTTGAGGGAATATCATGACCAGCTTTCAAACTTCTTGAAGCAACTGGGCAGCAGTCCTGATCTGTTCACGTTCGAAGACCTCCAGAGACATTGGAAGAACTTTTTACCTGGTGCTTTGATGTTCGCCCCGTTAGGGTTTGCGTTCATCCTAGCTGTGAAGGAAGAATTGCCAGAGTTTGGAGAGATGAAGGAAGGTTCAGATATAGGAGATTTCATGGATATGCCTATTCCAGAAACCGATGAATTTTATGAAAAACTGAAGCCTCTAATAGAATATGCTAACAACTTGTAATATTACATTATTGAGATGAAACAAAGGATTTTTTAAATGTTTTAAGTTATTTTTTAAGCGCAGGTAGAAGCCTAAATACCTCGGCTACTATGGTTAGCTTAAAAAACTTTGTTAATCCGATTTTTTAACTGACTAAAGTTAGTACAACTGAGAAGAGCCTCCTCATGTAGATTGTGACAAAGGAGCGATCGTATCGGCCGGTTCTGGATGCAAGAAGTCCGACACGGTTTGGCTGGGAGTCCAAAGTCCGATTTGGTTTATTGCCGTTCTTCTCGGTCTGCCAAACCGTTACTGTGTATTTATTTTGATGTCTGGTCTGGCATATAAAACAAATGACGTATAATTCCAAGGTACCTACCTAGAAAATTCTGTTGTTGTGAAACAACTAAGGTTTGTCAATGTCTATTATATATTTTTTGGATCAGAATTATAAACTATATTTACCTGTGTAAAAATCCAATATGGCGTCTATAAGAAAAAATAAAGTTGTGGCTGGAGGACAAGAGACGAAACGTCATATTGAAATTCTGATTATGCCATCTTGTAGAGCAGATGAAGGTGCAATGTTAGTGTGCAATTTTCTTAAAAATCCCAGTACAAATAATGTCAAGAAAAAATTTAAATAGTTTTGGGGAATTCCGTTTTCCATCTACCTCCGGAAGTACTTTTCCTCCATTAAAAGGTCGAATTTGGAACACCCGATTTGTGGAACAAACCTTGGAACCGAATTTTGAACCAATTCTCTTAACCAATCGAGATGAACCTTTGTAGTTACGTTTGACTTCTCGTGATGATACAAAATGAATTGACTGCTGTCATTTTGAATCCGATATGGCGGATACTACAAAATGTCGATCCATCACTTTCATAGAAACCCTTATTATATGGCTAGGAAATGAAAGGGTTTGATGAGAGAAACACAATAAATAAGGTGACGTCATTTACATTTTTCACAGTTACGACTATGACATTGGTATCAAATGAAAGTGCCTGATAAGAGAAATATAATAAGCAAAGCAACGTCATGCTTAATCCAATATCGCGGTTGCCGCAAAATGGCGACTTTCATTTGTCAGAGTCACAAATATATTGGAGTTAGATGAAATAGGTTGATGATAGAAACGCACTGAACAAAGTGACGTCATTCCAAATCCGATATAGGTATCAAATTAAAGGGCTTTATGAGAGAAATATAATAAGCAACGCGACGTCATCCTGAATCCAATATGGTGGCGATTTACAATTTCCATAGTCATTCCTATACTATAGGTGTATAATAAAAGCGCTTGTTGGGGGAAGCATAATGAGCTGATGAGTTTTCACTAAAAAATAGATTGTTAGGGTACGCTAAACGAAAAACGTTATTGGCAGTGGCTAGGGAAATATCGTAGTCGAGAAAATTCTTGAATTCTGATAGTTTTGTAGATGCTTGTAGTTTTTTGGTGTCGCATGATACTAGTAACCGCTTCACTCATTGTTGCCAGTTATTTTACTATGTGAGTTCATAGTGGGAAGTGCATGGATCTACAAGAAAGAAAAGAGAAAACAATTGCCTTTACTATTAGTTTATTCATCTGGCGCCTTGGTTGTTAAGGCGCTCGCCCTAAAACGACTACTTAAGCTAGGTACGTAATATACTATTTTCATTCAATCGTGTGTTATATAACAATTCTTGGTGAATACGCAATTACAAAGCGCTCTGATAACAATGGGTTGTACGATTGTAATTTTCCAGCAGTATACTTCAGCAAATAAGTAGCGGCGGGTCATTTAACTGTTATAACGAGTAATCTTTTTATTTTTACAGGGTAGTCCAAGTAATTATACGAATTTCCATCCTGGACTTCAATTATTGAGTTTCAGGGAGTAGAAATTGTGAGAGACGGTGGCAAAAGGTGGGTGTGGCCAAGAAAAGCAGTATTGTTCGAATCATTTCTAGCGAAAAGTGATAGAAATTAATTCACTTTAGGGAGTCGCGATTTCTCTTGGTACCGACCAACAGAAACTGGAAAAATTGGTAGAAAATAACGCTATATAACGTAAAAATTGACGTGTTTGGCATTGTGATAGTCGTTCCTGCTAAACATATTGCAAAAAAATGGATAATTTCATCGATTGATGTCTTGGAGCGAGATTATTAACGAGGATGTAGAGGAGGCAGTTGAGGACTGGGAGATTGGGAGAGATACCTGTATTCTTGGGCCTCGAGATCCTTTCATAATTTCGGATCGAGAATTTGTACAGATGTTTAGGTTGGCCAAAGATTTGGTGTATGAATTGCTGGAGATATTGACTCCATTCATATAACCACCCCCACGAGCTTCTGCATTCGATCACAACAATGGCAAGAGTAGATATTAAGCTTTAGTCATTCTAAAACAGTATCATCTAATCTATGATTGAATTTTCGCTGTTGCATTTGGAAGTGTTCCCGGATAAATTCAATCATTTTGAGTAGATGGTCTATGGGGATTCGGTCTCAAAACTTCCAAAATCCGCCACCAGAGGCGCTGGCGTCGCGCGCCATTGACAGGTTGTTGGACGGAATCTGTAATCATGAGTTGGGGATTCCGCCGCTAGATGGCGCTGTCAAACCAAACGGAATCTGTGTGTCATTGGACACCTGTCATGCGTCATTGGGCATCTCACGCATAGATGGCGTTAAAACGTCATCTGTCATACGTCATTGGACACCTGTCATTGATGGGTTGAGCATCTCGCGCATAAATGGCGCCGATTTGTTTGGCGCTGTACAAACCAAACGGAATCTATGTGTCATTGGACAGCTGCCATTGATGGGTTGGGCATCTCGCGCATAGATGGCGCCGATGCCGCATCTGTCTGGTGTTGGCGTGGATTACGGGGGGCAACGTGTATACAGGGGTGCATCGACAAATAGCGGATCGATGGACCGACGGTATATCGTTAAATCGTATATAGCAAGGCATGACCTAAATAGCGTGGTGGGCTCCTCTGGTCGGTCGGTCGGTCGGTCAGAATGTCTCATAACCTGTATACGATGTACTGTTATTATTATACAGGATGATACCGTTCAAAATGAAACTTTATGTAGTAGAATGATGGTGGGGGGGTGGGGAGTCGAAGGAACCGACTGTTTTTTTTTTGTTTGACAACAGGCTGAATACGAAATAAACATAGCTTTCTGAAAAATGTATTTTTTTTAATGATATACAGATACAAGTTTAGATAACAGAGTTTTTAGTTGATGTAACAAATCCTCGCTGGGGCATGGTACTCCAAATAGAGTCCAATGAAATGGTCCGGTCGCAACAACTTTTCTTGTAAATTCATTAAATTTATAGTAAGTTGCGTGACGGAAAAAGTAAATATGGCCATCAATCCATCGAAATGCGAGAGAAATATCTTCAGGTAATTCAGGAAATATGTCTCTTATCCGTCCTCTGTTCAACACATCAGTAAAATCGTTAGAAAATTCTATATATGACATATTATTATAAAAGGTATAGGACCGTCCTGCGTTTGATTGAAAAATAGCATTGATTCGAGCCCTATCGGGTATATCAATTGAAAAATTATCAAGAAATTTAATGGTAGGGAATGATGCTGAGAAATATTTGTTTGGAGACACAATGGTAATCAAGTCACCGTTTGTTGATTGGAAAATATGTTGTAAAGTGTATTGACGTAATTCTGTAGGAACATAATCGACAAGAAGTTCAGGCTGAGATGGGATAATCATTTCGTTTAAGTCTAGTTTCCATATAAACATATCATGTGCAATATATAATCGGTAATTTGAAAACTCTGGAGCAATAGCTAAAAACATAAAATCTGGAATAATATCACACAAATTTTTGAGGATCGGCTGCTTACGAGTTGTAGATCTTATAGTTATTGTTGTTTTTGGTATTGCTGATGCGGTGGTAGACGTTGGGATTGAATCATATTTGTTTTTTCTTCCATATAGATATTGTACTGCATTTATATCATCAACATCTAGACCACGAATCTCATGCTGATAGAAGGCAAACATAATAGCATTCGGAGAAGCACTATGTGCTATGCCGAGAGCATGTCCAATTTCATGAACCAACACCTGATAGAGAATGATGTCAAAAATCTCAGATAGCAAATATAAATTCGTTTACCCCCCAATCAAAATCTTGACTGAAAAAAAATTAGGCAGCAAATATACAATAATCATACACGAATTTACTATATTTCTAAATTTCTACTCTCATGTGCAACTTGTAATTGGAATTTCCGCCGGACAAACGATACATTCATGTATTACTAAGAAATTATATAAAAAATACTGCAACCGCAATGAATGTTGTTTTCTCGATAAAAATGGTACTGAGAATATGATGCATATAATATGCATATTTACGATACAATTATCTCATGCACGCGTGTGTTATCTCAACCACGTATTTATATTTAGCGAGCGCATGCAATAGTCATCATTGTTTCACACTTAACGCACAACGCTGCAAGCTGGAACAACGGCCGCAGTACAATAGTGCTTCGAGAGAGACGAGATAGCGAAAATTTTAAAAAAAGTAAGTGCTATTTTATTTAATATTTTTCTTTTTTATGTCTCTAAGTGCAACTGTTTTTTCGTGTTATGCTTCAAAATAGTTAGACGACTCAATTTTTTTATAGATGGATTTATCAAAAATTAATGCTGCGTCTTCGATTGTAGACCGCAAACCTATCAGAAAATTAAAGGACCTACCAGTCGGGACACCATTTGCAATCCAAGCAGCTAAAGTGGTCAAGTCGAAATTTGGGGAAGCCGTGCTACTAGATTTAGGACCGGAAGTGCTATTTCTACCACAGCGGGTGACGGAAACGTACCAGCCGGTCATCGACGAACTTTTTCACGGAAAATACTCGATCATCTTCCAAGGGGAAGTGGACGTAGGGAAAAGCCGACCGCTAGCATCATTCAAAATAGTGGAAAATTAACAAAGCAGAGAACAGGAGGAGGAGGACAGGGTGAGCATTTTTATATATTTTTGAGTAATGTGTTTGCTTGAAAAAAAAAATGTCGTCT